TGCCCTAGGAGCTTGGGATGGCGGCAGGGAAGCTTCCTTCCGGGTTCTGGGACCGGCTCACCTTCTCTGCCCTAGGAGCTTGGGATGGCGGCAGGTGTTTTTTGTTTTTAAAGATGGGGTTTGCTACATTGCCTAGGCTAGTCTCAAAGGTCTAGGCTGAAGTGATCCTCCCATGTCAGTTTGCAGAGTGCTGAGACTCTAGGTGGGTGCCACTGTGCCCAGCTCATATGTACCTCTAAGGGAACATTAAATTAGTAATAATAATAAAGGCAAGCACTTTCTTTCTTTTCTTTTCTTTTTTTTGTAGACAGGGTTCTGCTATGTTGTTTGGGCTAGCCTTGAACTTGCAGCAATTCCCTTGCCTTAGCTTCCCAAATGCTAGGATTACAGGCATATGCACCAGGCCTAGCTTTCTTTTTTTAAGAAGCGGGGAGTGACTCTCCTGCCTCAGCTTCCAAAATAGCTGAGACTGAGGTAGCATGGAAGAAATAAAATGGTAACTGTAATAAAACTGCAGACTTCAGACACAATCAAAGTTACATAGGGTTACAATGCCTTTTTCGCCCCCAGGCCTGTTTTTTCCTAGCTCCTAAATCCCTAAGTCTTGAAGTCAATATATCTGGCCTATGTTTTTTTCTCATATTACTCCTCGTACAGGTTTAAAATCTACTGTTAAAAGGATGCTTTCACAATGTGACATTTTATTTTGATTAATTGATCCTGAGTCACAGAAGTCAGTCTACACGCATACCTGTCTGCTGCCATGTGGCCTGCCATAGCAACGGCACCAATTATCCCAATGAGTTGGTACTTGACTACGGTGCTCGAGAGCTGCTTTCGAATCACCAAGTGCATATCATCCTGCAATGAGAATATGATGGGCAAAAATGGAGAGGCTAGGATGGTACAGCACAAAAATCTAAGGATACTAGAGCCAGAAGAAAGGGTTTTTTCAATTACTAACTCCATGGCCTTTAATACGTCATTTTATTTCTCTGAGTCTCAATTTTCTCATACACAAGATGGGAAACATTGTTTTAAGGTTTAGAGGCTTATTGCGAAAAATCCCTAGAATAGCGCCTGGCTCATGGTAGCTATTATTTTCATAGTGGCTACTCTGTAAAGATATGAGAACTACTGTAACGTAATGTTAGTGGCTGTTCAGCTAGAATAATAAAATAGAATACCTGGGAATGAATTTAGGAGTTAAAAGACTTATATGTCAAACTCTACAAAACACTGTGAAAGAAATTAAAGACCTAAATTAAGCAAAGACTTCCTGTGTTCCAGGATTAAACAACTTGGACAGATACACAGGCCAATGGAATAGAGTCCAGACATAAATCTTCACATATTTGGTCAGCTGCTCCTCAACAAGGCCACCAAGGACATTCAATGGAAAAGCACAGCATTTCAACAAACTGTGCATTCACACGCAGAAAGATGATGCTGAACCCAAATTTATACCTGTACGATAACACCAAAAATTAACTCGTAGTGGATCACAGACCTAAATTTAAGATCCAAAATTTTCATTTACAAGAAAATAGAGAAAATTTTCATGTCCTTGTAGTTGGAGATAATTTCTTAACTATGACACCAAAAGTACAAATAATAAAGGAAAAAAAAACTGGATGTCATCAAAACTAAATACTTTTGCTCATCAAAGTACACTATCAAGAAAAAGAAACTAAGCTGGGGGTTTAGCTCAGTGGTTCTGCTGCCTGCCTCACAAGCGCAAGGTCCTGAGTTCGATCCCTGGTACCAAAAAAAAATTTAAAAATTTTAAAAATAAAAATAAAAGAAAAAGAAACTAGAGGGCTGAGAATTTAGCTCAGTGGTTCCGCCGCCTGCCTCGCAAGCACAAGGTCCCGAGTTTGATCTCTGGTACCAAAAAAAAAAGAAAGGAAACTAGAGCTGGGTGTGGTGGCGCACACCTGCAATCCAAGCACTTGGGATCTTCTTGCCTCTACAGGGCCTCCTATGTAGTTCAGGCTGGTCTTGAACTCTTGGTGATCATCCTTTCTCAGGAGGTGATGCTCCTGCCTCAGTCTCCAAGTGTTAGGATGATAGTTCACCCCAAGAAACACATGAAAAATGGCCAATAAACACATGAAAAAATGTTAAATATCATTAGTCATTAGGGCAGGGCAAATCAAAACTACAATACCACTCACCCACTAAGGTGGCTATTAATGACAGTGTCTGTGAGGGCGTGGAGAAATCAAACCCTCATATTTGTTGGTGAGAATGTAACATGGTGGAGCTTCTATGGGAAAGTTTGGTAGTTCCTCAAAAAGTTAAACACAGAATCACCATAAGACCCAGCAATTCCATTCCTAGGTATATACCCAGAAGAACTAAAAACGTAGATTCAAATAAATGTGTTCACTACTGTTCATAAGAGCACTATTCAAATGCCCAGAAGCACCTCAGGTGTCCATCAATGGATCAACAAATAAACAAAATGCAGTCTATACATAACAAAGATTATTCAGCTATAATAAGGAACAAAGTTCATATGCAAGAGGTGATTGAAAACTACATTCAATGTTAAAACTAAAAAAACCGACTTAAGATAGTAAAAGACACATTGGCAAGAACAATGGGCTAAGTATGTTCAAAGTGAGGGGGAGTATTTTGAGGAGGATTAATGGCAATGTGTCTTTTACTGCAATAACTTTAAAAATTTAAACATTCAATGTATTTTTTAATCAGACCTCCTACACGATACAACAGTTAATTTTGAAAACGTATGCTAAGACGGGCATGGTGGCACACCCTTATAATCCCATCACTCAGGAGGCTGAGGCAGGAGGAACATCAGTTTGTGGCCAGCCTGGGCTACTTACTTAGCGAGACCCCATCTCAAAAATACACATTAAGCTAAGTGAAATAAGCCAGACAGAAAAGGACAGACATTGTGCCATTCCACTTACATGAGGTATCTAGACTAGATAAATTCAGATGCAAAGTAGATTATAGATTACAAGGGCTTCGGGGAGGGCAATGTGGAATTACTATTGCCTAATGGGCATAAGCTTTATTTATTTATTTATTTTCCTTCCTTCTTTCCTTGCCTTTCTTCATCCCTTCCCTTCCTCCTACCCACCCTCCCAGAGTGCTGAGATTACAGGTGTAGGGCACCATACCCAGCTTGGGTAAAGTTTTCTGTTTGAGAGGCTAAAAAGAAAATTCTGAAAATGGATAGAAATAAAGCTTGTCCATTGTGAATGTCTTTAATGCTACGGATAATAAAAGGCATTAAAATGGGGCTGGGTATTTAGCTCAGTGATTTTGCCACCTGCTGCGCAAGTGCAAGGACCCAAGTTTGATCCCCAGCACCAAAAAAAAAAAAAAAAAAAAAAAAAATCACTAAAATGGTAAATTTTATGTTATGTATATTTTACCATAATTTAAAAATGAAATAATGAAGTTTTGTATTACTGATATAAAGTAACCTCCAAAATAGTCTGCTAAACACAGAATGCAAGATGTCAAATAAGAGAGGAAAGGAGATTACATGCAAATACAAATTTTTGTAAAAGCTCAAAATATCTCGAAAAGCTATAATAAACCAGCAATAATAATTATCTGTAGGAAAACAAACCAGGTGCCTAGAAGACTAAGAGGGAGGAAGAACTATTTTTCACTGTATACCCTTCTACACATTTTGAATTTTGTACCATTTACATATAATACCTAGCTTGAAAGAGAGGGTTTTTTTCTTTTATTAAACACGGTGCTGGTTGTTCAAAATCACAGACCAGTAGTTTTGGCTTTACTGCTACAAAGCAACACTACAGACACCAAAGAGCTGAGTCATGACTCCAACCTAATCTCTACTCCTCTTACACATCCTTTGCTTGGGTTTCAGTAATTGGTGCCTACAAATGAAAGTAAGCGCAGGGGAATTCTGTGTCTACAGCACTCAGTACAGAACCTGAACAGCTTTTCCTACTCAATTTCATAGTTAGCTGATTATTAACTAAACACCCTACCACACTGGTGAGGGCAGAAGACCTAACACACCCAGCATCTCCACCTGGCACACAGTCACGTGATGTTTGTGGTAAGGAAAGAATGGACAAAGGTTGGGACTATGGCTATGCACTCTATTTCCACTACGGCTTCACAGGCTAGTGTGATTTTTGTCTCGCAAATTCCAAGTAACAAGGTTTAAAAGATTCTTTCCCAACACAGGGCCTCTTACCTTGATGTGGCTGCTGGCTTCGTGCTGTTCACTAAATGCCAGTGTGCTGAGAATATGGAAGAGTTTTCGGATTTGCTGAGGAGACATATTATCCAGGTAATCTAAAAGGCCCTATGAGAAAAGAATGCCAACAATGAGGTTACTAGCTAAGTTTTTCTCTTTAGGTCAAAAAATTAAATGGCCAGGGATTTAGCTCAGTGGTTCCTCTGCCTGCTTCACAAGTGCAAGGGCCCAAGTTTGATCCCTGGTACCAAAAAAAAAAAAATTGAAATCCCGAGCTGGGGATGTAGCTTAGTGGTAGAGCACTTCCCTAGCATGTGGCAGGCCCTGCCTGAGTTAAATTGCCAATACCTAAAAACAAAACAAAAATTAAAATCCTCCCCCACCCCAACCCCGAGACAGGGTCTTGCTATGTAGTTCTAGTTGATCTTGGACTCACTATGCAGCCCAGCCTGACCTCAAACTCACAGCGATCCTCCTGCCTCAGCCTCCCAGTGCTGGGATTATAGGTGTGCGCCACCACCTTGGCAAAATCCTTATCAGATATACATTTAGCTAGCCAGATATCTATCTTGCCCAAAAGCTTAAGATGTAAAAGCTATGCTCAGACTTCAAAGGTTTGATATTCTGGACACAAGCTGAGAGGGCCCTTGCAGCTTCCTAAGTCTATCTTACTAGGAAAGATAAAATCATTAGCACTTGTCCTCTTTCCTGGACCATAATCGGAGGCTGTAATCATCTCTTGCTTAGCCATCCTGGTAGTCTTTAACTCTATCCTGCCTTTTTTCTCAGTGAAAACAATATTCCACCAGAAGTCATCTACAACCCCCACTCTTTACCCTAACTTTCCTTTCCAGCTTCTACTCCATGAACTATCCTTTCCCTGAAGATCTGGAGGGAGTCAAAAGGAAACTACAGTGGTAGTCAAGTGATTCCCTGATTCTGGAAAAGATGGCCACGTTTGTGTTTGTGTGGGAAAGATGGCCACAGTCATGTTCACCACTCAGTGCAGAGTTCAAAAACAAAAACAAAATTTTACCAAACGCTGATTTGTGAATCAAAATGTTCACAAACAAAACCATTCATGAACTGAGGCACCACTGTATTTCCTTTTTTATCTTTTTTTTTGGTACCGAGGATCAAACTTAGGACCTTGCACTTGCAAGGCAGGCGGTGGAACCACTGAGCTAAATCCCTGGCCTTTTCCTTTTTGATCTTGAGCAGCCCCTCAGCTGTCTCATCTCTAATACAGGGATAATGAGAGCTACACTACTTTTCAAAGTTTGTCTGAGGCTGCCTGCCTCGAAAGCACAAGGTCCCGAGTTCCATCCCCGGTACCAAAAAAAAAAAAAAAAGTAAAGGTAATCAGTGAAATATGGTATCCTGGATTATAACCCTAGAACAAAAATAGGACATTAATAGAAAAAGTTGTAATATCCAAGTAAAATCTGTAATTGAGTTCACTGTAATCTACCAATGTTAACATTTCAGTTTTGACAAATGTACCATATGATACAAGATGTTAACATTAAAAGAAGCAGGGCAAAGTGCATAGAACTCTCTGTACTACTTTTGCATCTTACCTGTAAATCTACTAAGAATAACAAAATAGGTCATTATTCCAATATTAAAAGTTTACTTTTAAAAGGTAGTTTTCACCCTTCACCCCTCCTAATTGTTTTACTACATTTTATTATTATCTGTGTTCCCAAGTTTATTTGTGTGTATTGTATCTGTATGGCAGAAATACGCTCTAATGGTGTGGCCTGTATTGCCATGGTATCATCATAAAAGATTGAAATCAGCCATGATGAAAGGATTTTTAGCACTAGAATTGACAGATGTTACATATGAGGCCCCTCCTCAAGTAGAGGTGCTTGTTAGATATTTGCTAGCATGCAGTGTTTCAACTTCATATTTAAAGTTCCTTTAGGCAATACCCTTTTCTGATTGCCTAAAGAACAAGGGATCTGTAGCTATTATTGACAGCCTTGACCTTTGTAGTTTCCTCTACTAAAAATGAAAATATTAAATGTCTTTGTGAACTGGTTTAAAATTTTTCTAATTATTTTGTAGGAAGGGGAGAAAATTTTGTCCAACCAAAAGAATAGCGCGTGCCCCTTCCTTTCAGAAGTGGTTTTCTACAACTAGTTTGTGTTTAGGAGACTGAGTGCAATACCATACTAAACCACAGAGAGGCACTGTCTCCATCCTTTTATTTTCTACTCCTTCAATAAAGTCCAGACGTGAACGTGAAGGGATTATTCAGTACCTCATTCTTAACTGGTTTTTAACTATAGGTTGTTACATATCAAACTATTAACGGTGATTATTTCAAGAACAAGTGAAATTAATGTGTGAATTTACTTTCTTTGCTTTGTTTTATATTTGTTTGTGGCAATTATTTTTTACCTTTGTAACCAGAAAAACAATAACACATATGCTAAAAATATATTCTGAAGTGATGAAAAAAAAAAAAGTTTGTCTGAGGATTAAGTAGTAAGAGCTTTGTGGGCTTTCAGCTGCCCAAGCTAATAGCCTCTACCCCATCTTTACCATCTCTACTATCCAACACTGTTGACAATTCCTCCTCTGCAAGCACTCTTCTTCCTGGGCTTTGCTACTGGACACCCTTCTGGTTTATGTTACTCTACATCTATCTTCTCATCTCATTCTCTTTCCATAGACATTTGCTTCGGTATGCCACTTGCATTTAACGTTCTCAAGAGGCTCTGCACTCCCCCAGGCTCCTATGCTCTTCTGCCCCACTTGAGCTCACACTGTTATGCTTATGGATATCCAAACTAAACCTTCCACCAGATGTGACTAATGGGCTCCAAACTGAGATTCCCAACTATCCACTCACCATCCAGACATGGAGGTACCAAACTGAACTCACTGTGCTTCCTCCAAAAGATGCACCTCATACTTACTAACCTGAGCTCACAATACAGCACAGCCATTCAACTAGTTTCCTAAGACGGGAAACTTGGACCTCACTTCTCTTTCTCACTGCAATGTATTCTTGATAGCCATATTGACTCTAAGACCAAATTGTCTCTAAAGCTATCATTTCCTCTTTCCCTACAACTCTAATTTCAGCCTTTACCCTCTCTCTCTAGAATGGTCATTCTAGTGGTCTCCAATCCTCTCACCACACAGCCTCATAGCTGTGAACAGATCAACACCCTATAGAAACCTGTACTAGTTCCCTATAGTCTACAAAATCAAAGTGAAACTCCTTAGCATGGTTTCAATTTGATTCCACTCAAGTCTTACCTGCTTGACTTCCCACCACTCCCAACCACATATCCTTCTCTCCAGTCTGCCTGTCATCCACAGGCACACATGCCCTTCGGCATCACTTAGCTTCCAGAAGGTATTCCCACTCTTCAAGAAATACTCAGCTGTGATCTCCTCTTTGAACACTTCTCCAGCTCTCCAGGCCAAATTGAATTATTCCTGATCTCTTATATCTATAATACTTCATTACAGAATTCAACAGTTTGTATCTTAGTAACTTGCTTGTGTTTCTTTATCTTTCTATCATCAAAGGCAAAGACTGACTTTTATATCCACTTCATCCAGGACAGAGCTTGGCAATAGTTAGGAATAGAGAAGTGTCTGCTGAATGAATTAGTACATAAACAATGAGTCATTCTTTTTTTTAGGTACCGGGGATCGAACTCAGGACCTTGTGCTTACAAGGCAGGCATGGTGCCATTGAGGTAAATCCCCAGCCCCACAATGAGTCATTCTTTTTTTTTTTTTTTTTTGGTACTGGGGATTGAACTCAGGGCTTTGCACTTGGGAGGCAGGCAGCAGAACAACTAAGCTAAATCCCCAGCCCTGCAATAAGTCATTCTTAAAACAGTATTTGCCTATTATATATCTCACTATCTATCCACCAGTTATAGAGTTCAGTATCTAATGAGTACAAATTAAATGACTGCCAACAGATAACTCTCTACTATATGCAACAAAGAAAATGATTCAGTGTGACAGTATAATCAGCATATACCTTCACAAAGACGGCATTCAGCCTCATTGCAGGCGGGTCTAGTATCGTCAACTCCAGGAAGACATCCAATGCAGCATCAACTTCTGCTTCATTCCCACTGCAGACATGAGTCACGAGAGCACCAACTACTTCCTGCACAAGGGAAGAGAAAGGGTCACCAGCATAGAATGAAGCCAAGAACATGGCAATGCCACCCTAAAAGGGTCCTAATCCTGCTATCTACCATCTAACTGCCATTAATATTGGATTCAGGAAGCCTAGGGTTATGCCAGTGTAACCACAGTACCATCCAGTCTTGACCTATTTTCCAAAATGTATGTGCGAGCACTATCTAAGCCCTCGTGATTCTGCTACTTATCTTCCTCTTTCTTTTTCCTATATAAGTTAAAACATGGGTCATGATGGTACCTCCAAGACATTCAGAGTCAAAAAGGTCTTAGATGCTATTCCCCTTTTCCTTTAAACTGCTGCTCAATAACAGAACCCTACATCTCATGTCAACTGTATCTACTGCTGTTTCTTATCTTTTCTCTTGCAGTACTGGGGATTGAACCCACAGTCTTTTCACTTAAGTTGCCCAGGCTCCACTCAAACTTGCCATCCTCCTGCCTCAACTTACCAGAGTGCTAGAAATACAGGTGCACATCACCACACTCTATCACTTCCCAGCCTTTTGGCTAAGATCAAGTGTAGCATCACCACACTCCAGTAACAGCTATGTCTTACATTTAAATTTGGCAGGGGAGCAGTTCTGGGAATTGAATGGAGAGCTTTTGCAATGAGCTACACCCCCTCCCACTTTGAGATAAGTTCTCACCAAACTAACAAATTTCCCATCCCAGGCTAGGGCCTGGGGGTGAGCTCAGTGGTAGAATGCTTGCCTATGCTCAAACTCTGGGATCAATCCCCACACTGTAAAAAACAATCAATCTTCATCTGTAAATGTTCCCTTTGAACATTGTTAATAATAATTCTTTATTTGCTTTTATATGAACTTTCTGCAAATCAGCCTTCCCTCTCTAGATATGTAGCATTAAATTTTGTGTCCCAAATTCATGGGAATAGGGTTAGGCTACAAACATACATACACACACACACATATTTTTTTTTAAGGGAACAACTCCAGAATCAACTAAAAGTTGATTGCTTTTAACTAATTTAAATGCCATTCCAGTATTATGAAAACCACCTCACATTCCAGCCCAATGATCCAAGGTTTAATGGAAGTAAACTGGGTCTGGACCTTACTTTTAGACTCACTCGGAACACAGAGTCAGATTCTCCTGGCCACTCTACTCACTTTAAGGCTGAGACCAGAACTGAGCTCCAGTTCAGAGTTCTCTCCTCCTCAGTATCTTCCAATCAACAAGAAATAAACACTGGATCACATGCAGTTCACTTGGAGCTGTATTTCTACTTCTCCATTCCTCCTTATCAAAATAAATTATTTTGGGCTGGGATTTAGCTCAGTGGTGCCACCTCCTGCCCCACAAGGCATTTCCCTGAGTTCAATTCCAGGTAGCAAAAAAATAAAAAAGACAAAATAAATTCTTTCAACATACCTGCTGGCAATAAGTGTCAAAAATCCTAAATGAGTATTTGTAGAGCAGACTGCCAAATGAAGTTATACTCTCATCTTGGGAGTGAAACAAACTCTGAGCCAACAACAGAATAGATGGACAAATATCCTCAAGCACCTAGAAGGGGGAGGATAAAGAAGAAAAGCTGTGGGAAAAGCTTTGTTATTATATACCTTAGAGATGTGTTTTAGCTTTAACATTTTAAATATTTGTTTATTTACTTGTGGTACTGGAGATTAAAACAAGGGCCTTCTCACAGATCTACACCCATAGCCCTTTTTTTTGGAGACAAAGTCTCACTAAGTTGCTAAGATGCACAGGTTGAGTTTGAGCCTCTTCAGAGCTGGGATTCCAAGAGCATACCATAATCCACAACTCTTATGGAATCCTAACCTTCATCTTACTCAGAATAACCTTCATCATTCTGAATTTTCTCTCAGGATTAATAGGATTACACAGATGGATAAAAACTGACCTTGGCTGGGCCTGGTATTCAGGCCTGTAATCTCAGCTGAGGCTGAGGCAGGAGGATTACTGTGAGTTCCAGGCCAGCCTGGGATACATAGTAAGTTCAATGCCAGCCTGAACTGCATAGTGAGACTGTCTCAAAAAAAAAAACCAACCCAACCAAAACAACTTAACAAGACTGTCTCAAAATAAAAAATAAAGGGCCGGGGATTTAGCTCAGTGGTTCCACTGCCTGTCTCAAAAGCCGCCTGTCTCAAAAGCGCAAGGTCCCGAGTTCAATCCCTGGTACCAAAACAAAAGAAAGACAGAAAAAAAGAATACGCTTGTAAAATAAATAAAAAGACTAGGGACATAGCCTAGTGGTAGAGTACCTTTAGGTACTCAGGTACTTTAGTAGTACTCTACTTCAAGAGTTTTACCTATTTTATCTTCCAACAGGTTAATTGTTTGTTTTAACATTTAGTTCTTTGATCCATTTTGATTTTAGTTTAGTGGACGGTGAGAGATGTGGGTCTAGGTTTAATCTTTGACATGTAGATAGGCAAAACTCTTGAAGACATAGCCATAGGCTGAACAGAACTCCACTTTCATAATAGTACCAAAATCAATAAATGGGATCATATCAAATCAAAAAGCTTCTGCATAGCAAAGCAAGCAATCAACATAGCGATGCAACAACCTATACAACAGGAAAAATTTTTGCCAGCTATTCCTCAGAGAATCTAGAGGATTAATACCTAGAATATATGAAAAACTAAAAAAAAATAGACCCTCCAAAATAAAAAGGCCCAATCAAAAAATGGGCAAGTTAGGGGAAGTGGAAGGGGTAGGGGAAAGGAAAGAAGTGAAAAGAAAAAATATGAGAAAAGGAAAAAAATGGAAACAAAGTCTTTGTAAATACGGAAGGGTAGAGGGGGTGAAGGGAAAACAGGGGAATGGGGAAAAAATAAGAACCAAGATACATCATCTAAAGGTACAAGATCCCAATGACGAATGTAACTGTATTGTATACCTAAAATGTACCAATAAACTTAATGTACCAATAAACTTAAAGAAATCTCTGAAACATCTTCTATATAATTAATAAATGAAAAATGTTCCTGCAGCTAATCAATAAAGTTGTTAGAGAGAATTGAAAAAAAATGGGCAAGTGAGATGAACAGACACTTCTCAGAAGTACAATTGACCAATAAATACATGAAGAAATGGTCAACTTCACTGGCCATTAGAAAAATGCCAATCAAAACAACACTGAGATTCCATATTATTCTAAGAATGGCCATCATCAAGAAATCAAGTAATATGGCCAAGAATTTAGCTCAGTTGCACCGCACCTGCCTTGCAAGCAAGGTCCTGAGTTCGATCCCCAGTATCCCCCCAAAAAAAGAAATCAAGCAATAAAAAACACTGAAGAAGCTGTAGGAGAAAAAGAACACTTCTACAATGTTGGAGGGATTGTAAACTAGTGCACCACTATGGAAATCAGAATGGAGATTCCTCAAAAACTAAAACTAGAAATTTCATTTGACCCAGCTATTCCTCTTCTAGGATTTCTCTGAAAGAGTTTAAAAGACATCATATTACAGTGATATGTAAACATCCATGTTTATAGCAGCACAATTAAAAATAGGTAAATCTTGGAAGCTGCCTATATGCCCATCAAAACATGAAAAGAAGAAAACATGGTATTTAGTTATACACAATGGAGCACTACTCTGCCTAAAGAAAGATAAACTTGGGCGGGGAATGTGGCTCAGTGGCACTGCGCCTGCCTGGCAAGTGCAAGGTCCTGAGTTCGATCCCCAGTACTGGAAAAAAAGAAGAAAGATAAACTTGAGTCATTTGTAGGCAAATGGATGCATCTTGAGACCATGTTAAATAAATAAATGAGACACAAGCTTAAATATCATATGCTTTCTCTTATACAAGAAACCCAAATTATAAATAAAGAGCAAAATAAAAGATACTCAGCTGGGGATTTAGCTCAGTGGTTTTGCTACCTGCTGTGCAAGCGCAAGGACCCAAGTTCGATCCCCGGTACCAAAAAAAAAAAGATAATAGAAAGTAAGGAGATACACCTTTCTCAAATGGGAAAGGAATCAAATCATGGAGTGAGGGGGAAAGGAAAGGGGATTAAAAAAAGAAATTATGAAGGGTTATGGAGCCAGGTGTGGTGGCACACACCTGTAATCCCAGGGCTCGGGAAGCCATAGGAGGATCAATGTGAGTTCCAGGTCAGCCTGGGCTACACAGCAAGTTCAAGGACAGTAAGAACTATATAGTGAGATCCTGTCACAAAACCACCCCCAAAAAGTGTTATGCATATGTACAAAAGGAAAGTAAACATTATGTACTGCAAACATGTACTAACAAAAAAAAAAATAAAGAAGCCACACAAAGTCAAAAAAAGAAAAATCAAAGTAAAAGTCTCACTGGGTTTAAACAATGAGCTAAAGTAATGTGGATGAAACAGGAGCTGTAAGTCTTCCATCTGAAAAATCAAGCTCTACAGTCTAGAATCAGCAGCTTTGAATTAAACGTTTCTATAAAAAAAAAATTAAGGATCTAGCGTGGTGACACATGCCACTCTGGGAGGCTGAGGCAAGAGATGGCAAATTTGAGCCTGGTCTGGGCAATTTAGCAACACAGTGGGAGACCCAATCTCAAAATAAAAAACAAAAAAGGCTGGGGATGTTGTCAAGGTGAAGGACATGGGTTCAATCCCCATAAGCCAATTCCATGAACTTTTTGCAAAAAATGTGAAAATCAATCTTAGTTTGGTTTACTAACATCAATCAAGCTAAATAATGATTCCATTAAGTTTTGAAACATGCTAAGGTCCCTATCAGAGATTAACAGTCAGCCAAAGTACTGTCAGAATGTCCACACTGGGTAGGAAAGTTTAACATCACTGCTCTATCTTTTACAGCAACACCACCAACAATTACCATGAAGTGGACACAGAAGGTCCCCTCCAGCAGCTGCTGATCAAAGCAGCCCGAGCGAATCTTACTTCTCAGCACCTTCTCGATGTATTTCTTTGTATGAGTGTTGGTGCTATAGATGATGAAAAGCATCACCACATCAAAAGTCTGTTGTAAGGATGAAAAGAAGAATAGTTTAATATATCAGTACATTTTTAGCAACAAAACAGTAGCTCTCAATTTATTCCCATTAAAACAGAGAACTAGGGCCGGGAATTTATTTATCTAATTTTTTTTTTGGTACTGGGGATCAAACTCCAGTCCTTGTGCTTGCACAGCAGGCAGCGAAACTACTGAGCTAAATTCCCCGGAATTCCCTTAGGGCCATTCGATCCCCAGTACCAAAAAAGAAAAAATTCAAAAACACAGAACTGACTCATTTGCGCAACATATTCCCATGAGATTATCTACATTTTTCCCACAAAATCTAGACATATTTTCTAGAGAAATAGTGCTACAATTCTTCATTACTGGTATTCGAGAAGACATCCGAATATAAGCAAAAGTGATATTATTATAAAAGTTATTTTAAGCATCTCCACATTTATCAAAAGATTAAATCACATACCAACTCCAGTAATATATTTCTCCTATTAGGAAAATTGCAAAAGTTGAAAAGACTGTAAATGTTCATTAGTACAGGAATAGTCAAATTATGATTAAATCATTTTGCATTTGATCTTAGCCAAAAGACCGAGAAACGATGTTGATTAAATCATTTTGGAATATTATAAAGCCACAAAAAAGAACAGATAATCTATATTTTTGGTGGTACTAGACATCAAACCTCAGGGCCTTTGTACTGAACTACATCCCCGGGTCTTTATTTATTTATATTGAGACAGGGTCTACTTAAGCCACTAAAGATGATGGTGGGGCTGACAGAGGGGTGCAGCTCAGTAGCAGAGTGCTTGCTGATCACATGCAAGCCTCTGGGTTCCATCCCAAAAAGTGGGGGGTAGGGGAAGACAATGAAGACGCATGTGAAATTTTATGACAGGAGAAAAAAATGTAAAGAGAAAAGATCAGAATACAAAATTATATGTATAGATTGATTACAAATCTGTAAAATTGGGAATGAAGGTAGTAAGGCAGCCAATTTATTTTCATGCAAAAAGAAAAGCAGGGTAGCCAGCAATTTAGCTCAGTGGTGTCCCCAGCTAGCTCAAGAGCCCAAGATCCACCGTACCAAAAAAAAAAAAAAAAGCGGGATATTGATTTTTTTCCTCCATAAAAATATTCATTTTTTTATTCCATAACATAAAAGCTTTTAAGATGATAGTCATCCAACAACTGGATACCCCAACTAATGAAAATCCCAGAAAATAGACTCCAACTAAAGAAAAATCTAGAGGAAATAATCAGTACACGAGCAACTTGGCCATGTGGCCTCTCAACAGAAGGTATTTGTAGAACCAAAAAAGAAACAGAGCTGTTTAACAATGGCAAGGCTGATCCACTCTGGCCAGGTCCACACAGGTGAAGCAAGTGCAGCACAGAACACAGCTATATTGACAACTCTGGGAGAAAAGAAATCAGGTGACACAGGCACCCAACTCATGGCCAGTGGAGATGTTTTACTGCAATTTGATGTATTTGTCCAGAATGTGCATGTCCCCTTCCATATGCTGCAGGATTACTTTACTGGCAGAATTAATTTGGCAAGTCATCCTCATATCAACTTGCTCTGCAGCTGATCTTTATTACAGCAGCGGCAAAAGCACAAAAGAAAGACTGGAAGCAGAGCAGGAGATGAAGCAGGACAGCAAGCTAACTACTGTCACTACCTTGGCTGTAATGCTTAAAATTCACAACACAAGAACAGTACCGTATGATCAGACCCCGAGACAGTGCTTTCAATTGCCTGGAAAAACAAAAGTCATGGCAATATTAGGACACATTGGTACAACACAGTCCACCTATGCCCCTGGATACCCTGTTCTGCTAGTGGAGAGCCTATCTGCCCTTAACCTAGGCCCATTTCTACTGGAATGGCTTCCAGACTCAACTCAACCTCCGTCACTCGCTGTCTGTTCCCAACAGACATCTCTTTTCTCCTTGACACTCCAAGTTTCAAGGACCCAATTTTTATTTTTTTTTTGGAGAAAGGGCTTCACTCTGTAGCCCACATTGGCCTTGAACTCTCATTTCCCCTGCCTCAGCCTCTGGAATGCTGGGGTTACTAGCATGCACCATTATTCCCAGCTCTAACTCACCTTAATCCAGGCTTCTGAAATGTTTTTCTCATATCTAACAGCTGACTTTATTACATCAAAGATGAGAGTAACATAGTCTGGATGGCTACTTTCTTGATTTCCTGAAGAACTACAAATAGCAAGAAAGGGAAAAATTATTTCTTCTACTTATCAGAAAAGAACTTACAATATCTGGGTTCCTGCTTATAAGCCAAGCATCCTGGAGCAAGTCACAGCCTCTTACATAAAATGGCTGAAAAGCTTACACTACATCTATCTGGGGTTAATTTGAATGGCTAACACACACACACACACACACACAGGCACACACTCACCTACTGCTGATTTACTGTAATTAAAAAACTACACTGGAAGTAAAAGAAATATTACTACCATTATTTGTAGTTGCAAATTGTTCTAAGTGTCGATTCTAGAATAAATCTCAGAAAACTTTTCCCATCAATGCAAGAAAAAGGATGGCAGTTGCCAAAGTGCTTCATACCTTGTTCCTCCTTTTCTTTTCAACTTAACTTGCGAAGCATGTAACACTGACGGCAAAATAAAATGCTGCAGATCCAACTTTCCTCGAAGCTCAGAAATTACCTACAGAAAGTAAGTATTAGCACTGTGTCCTACCATTCTTTTTTTTCTGGTACTGGGGATCAAACTCGGGACCTTGCACTTGCAAGGCAGGCACAGTGCCACTGAACTAAATCCTCAGGCCTGTTCTACCATTCTTAGTGGATAGGCAGAGTTCAATGTACTCAACAGAACCTAACGACCCTTGAAAGACTGAGGAACAAAAAACTTAAATGGACAAAGCATTCGGAAAGGGCATCAATGAGAACAATTAATGCAAGTACAGTATGTCATACCCCCAATTCCAGAATGCCTAGAAGGCCTACTATACAGGATTAGCAAATATAACCCTATAGCAGCTTATTCAGAATAAGCAATCTGACTAGCTGTACCACTGCCTTCCCTGAACACTACGTGCAGTAATCAACATTACTAATTTGTCAGTGGCAAGAAAGGAACAATTTCTTTACTTTTCTTTCTTTCTTTTTTTGGATTTTTCTTTTTTTTTTTTTTGGTACCAGGGATCAAACTCAGGTCCTTGCCTGCAAGGCAGGCAGCGGAACCACTGAGCTAAATCCCCCACCCCTTTTTTTGGTTTTTTGAGACAGGGTCTCACTATGTAGTTCAGGCTGGCCTTGAACTCACTATAGCCCAGCCTGGCCTTGAACTTGTGGTGATCCACTGGCCTCAGCCTCCCAAGTGCTGGGCTTATAGGTGTGTCCCACCATACCCAGCAAGCAAAACAATTTCAACCTATTAGTTTAAATAATTTGTCCTTATGTATCTTTACCTAAGTCTAGGGTTTTTGTTTGTTTTGGGTTTTTTTTGTGGTCCTGGAGCTTGAACCCAGGATCTTCACAGTGAACTACATCACCAATCCTTTTTTAGGGCTGGGTATTTAACTCAGCAGCACCGCACCTGCCTGGCAAGCACAAGGTCCAAGTTCAATCCCTGGTACCAAAAAAGAGAAATCACCAACCCCTTTTTAAATTCTGAGACAGGGTTTCACTAAGTTGCTAAATTGTCCAGGCTGGGCTTCAACCTGTGATCCTCCTGCCTCAGGCTCCCAGACTGCTGAGATTACACTGGCTGGTCTGGTAGTTTAAATAGACGCATACCTCAAATGCATTAGTGGATGTTATGGAATGAAGAATGAACTTGATTATCACAGGCAAATCATCCAGTCTGATTGATTCCAGCTTACCCATTGCTAACTGGCGGACCTAAAAAAAAAAACACCAAAACTTTAAATTTCTATTGTCACTACTCAACCCAGTACTGCTAGACAAAATGAGAAAAACCAGTTTTCCCACCTATAACCTAGGAAGAAAAACATCTTTTGTTTTTCCCCAAATTACAAACTTTCAATTGTTAATGCTAAAGCTTCTTTACACACAGGTAATAAAAAGTGAAACAGTGTCAGGGGAAGGAGAAAAAAATAAGAACCAAGATACTCACATAATGGTACAAGATCCCAATGATGAATGTAACTGTATTTTATACCTAAAATATACCAATAAACTTAATGGGAAAAAAAAAGTGAATCAGTGCTACTGTCATAGATTTTGGAGCCTTGATTTTCAACTGGCTAAATGAAAGCATAAAAAAGTGTTATTCGTGGGGCCAGGGACATAGCTCAGTGGTGCCGCACCTGCCTGGCAAGATCAAGGTCCTGAGTTTGATCTCTGGTACCAGAGAAAGAAAAAAGTATTATTCCTATAAAAAACAATAAATATTTCGGCAATATAGAGTATTTCCCTAAAATGTTTTACTTAAAAACAGACTGGTGCAGGGCCAGGGATTTAGCTCAGTGGTGTCACGCCTGCCTGGCAAGAGCAAGGTCCTGAGTTTGATTCCCTATACCAAAAAAAAAAAAAGAAAAAGGAATGGGGATGTAGCTTGGTGGTAAAGTGCCCCTGGTTTCCAATCCCCAAACCAGCCAAAAGAGAGAGACCAGTGAATCTATAACAGTATAGCATCTGAAAGTCTACTGAGAAAGAGAAATCAAATGTCAATCAGTATATTTTTTCTTTCATTCTCTTCTTTCTTTCTTCCTTCTTTCCTTCCTTCCTTCCTTTCTCCCTTTCTTCCTTTGTGAGACAGCGTTTCACTACATAGTTCAGGCTGGCCTTGAACTCACTAGGTAGCCCAAGCCGGTTTCAAATTCATGTCAATCCTCCTGCCTCAGCCTCCCAAGTGCTAGGATTACAGGTGTGTGCCACCATGCCCAGCCATTCAGTATATTTTCAAAGTACAATTTTCAACACACATGACTTCTACCCAGGTAGTGACTGACATCATTTCCAAGTCAGAAAGCTGGCCCTGTTCCTGGAGAACAGAGCCTTTCCTACCTCAGACAGGAAGTCCGGGTCAAGCTGGAGGCTGGAAAGGACATCCAGAATTGGGACAGTGAGTCCAGTACTCTCCACCAATAGGTTACTGGGAATATTGGAAAAAGAAGAGTTGTTTAATGATTTGAACAGAGGTGGGTAGATAAACAGTTAAGAAAAATCACTCGTTAAGAGTATGACAAGAGGGCCAGGGATTTAGCTCAGTGGTTTCACCGCCTGCTGCGCAAGCACAAGGACCCGAGTTCGATCCCCGGTACCAAAAAAAAAAAGTAAAGAGTATGACAAGAGAGGCTACAGTTGCTCCTCAGTGTCTATAGGAACCTAGTTCTGGGATCCCCTGTGGATATCGAGATTTGCAGATGAAACAGGTCATGGTGGTGCACACCTACAACCTCAGTTACTCAAGAGGGTGAAGCTTGAAGACTGCTTGAGTTCACAAGTTCCAGACCAGCCTGGTCAACACAGACCCCATCCCCCAAAAAATAAAAACAAAATCCATGGAAGCTCATGTCCCTTATACAAAATAGCATAGAATATATTTCCTCATGTATGGTTTAAATCATCTCTGGATTATTTATAACACTTAATATATACAATGTACATGTTACAGAGATTGTTGTTATACTGCATTGTTATGGAAATAATGACAAGAAAAAAGTCTGTATACATTAGTATGGATGCAATGTTTTTTCTGAATATTTTTGATCTGTAGTTGGTTGAATCCAAGGAATGGAACCCGTGGATACACAAGCCAACTATACTTAATTCCTATTAAGCTACCATTTATAGTATGCTTCACTAAGAATTGTCTTCATGACAAAAAGTAATACATGCTCATTATATCTACATTTTTTGGTGGTACTGAAATTGAATTCATGGCCTTCTGCATGCTTGGAAAGCACTCTAGTGCTGAGCTACATCCTCACTCGACAGCCCATAAATGCTAATTAGAAAATTTCAAATAAGGTAGAAATGAAAACCCCCTCTTCACCATTCTCACTACACAGAAGTCACTACAGTTGAGTTTGGTACACAGTCTTCTTGAGAAAAGGAAAAAAGAAAACCCAAAATAGTTATATGCAGCCTAAATATGACAGATGCATGTGAATGAAGCACACAATGGTGAGATCTACCGTGATGGATTCTAAATGGCATAAAAAGAGACAAGCAGTCACCAGGCAGGGCAAATGAGTGCTAGCATAATGCCCTATCCAGAGGGAGCATTCAGACCCAGAGCACAAAAGCAAGAAATCACTAGACATATGTTATAACTTGTGTCCAGATGCCCCCTAAAACCTCATGCGGTCACAGGTGGGGCTTTTCAGAGGTGGCTGGAACTAGTGCGTGATGCTAGAATCACAGGTGTGTGATTACTAAATTAGTAATGATTGGTTTAGCATAGTGCTGAGTGGATAATGGGAAGGTCCTCCCTGGGTGTGAGAATATAAGGGACAGAAAGGGCTGCTGTGGTCACTGGTCACTTGCTGCTCGCTCCCTTCGGCCTGCCCTGCTCTGCCATGAACTGTTTCTCTTCTGCAATGCCCCTCTGCCATGCCACCCTGCCTTGGAGCGAGCAACTATGAACTGAAACCTCTACAAACTGTGAGCTACAATAAGCCTTTCCTCCTTTAACTTTGGGTGCCGGGTATTTTGTCTCAGCAATGAGAAAAGTAACCCAGACAACATATTTGGAGGTAGCTTTTCAGAGAAATGCAAAAAAGGAAGTAAATGAATTTTTTAACCACTTCTAGGACACATAAAAGGTTACATTAAAACAGGAATTATGGGCCGGGGATTTAGCTCAGTGGTTTTGCCACCTGCTGCACAAGCGCAAGGACCCGAGTTTGATCCCCAGTGCCAAAAAAAACCAGGAATTATATCCTGTGGATACAGTTTCTTCTTCTTAATTACTCTCCACAGCTCTGTTTTTCACGTGAAGGGGAGGAAGAAATTGTTCTTAGCAATGGATGTGATGCAGGGATGTGCATCACAATGAATCATCTAGGAATTCAAAGAATGCAGATGTTTAAGAGGCTCCACAAATGATCCTGATGTACAGTCAGGACTCAGCAGCCCTTGGAGGAAATGTTAATGCAAAGAAAAGATTGTGTTCAAGTTCTCCAGACAAAATTTACACGCGTAATCTTAAATTAGACATTATCTTCCTAAAAGGTATAACATTTAAAGAAAGCAGATGGGTCTATTCAAATATCTACCTGTTGTCAGAAACGCACTCTAGGGCCCGGGATTTAGCTCAGTGGTTCCACCGCTTGGGGCGCAAGGACCTGAATTCAATCCCCAGTACCAAAAAAAAAATGCACTCTAATTCCAGGCCCTACTTACGGAAGGCAAGTATATACACTCTTTTTAGACACAAAGAACCTCATTACTGTTTTCACACTGCTCCCACACTAGCCTTCCTGGAAGAGTACCAGAACACATATCCACCTGAGATCTTTCCCCACAGCGGCATGCTGGGAATCCCCAAGGATCTCAGGCAGGCTGGTGATGAAGTCATGCTGCAAGCACTCTGGAGAAACATGGATCAGCTGCATAATCTTGGTGGTGAGATCCTGTAGTAGAGGACACTATTACGATGGCAGCACATTACCCAGAACTGCTGGGAGCAATGCTACATAATTCTAGGGAAAAATCATTTGATTAGGCCTAGTTCTTCCACCTACAGGCCAGCTATGGCATTCCAAGACATAATTCCATTTTGACCTCGGGTCACAACTGAGATCTCAAGGATCCCCTGATGCTGTAAAGCTCCAGGACAAGACCACACCTGTGGGAGACACCCTGGGAGGAACCAAATCTTCATCTGCATAGTTCCTCATTGTTCTTAGATTTCCACTGCCCCCCAGTCTTCTGTTACACCTTGTTTATCCCAATGTGAAGTACTGAAATCTACATATTCATTTGTCACTTTTGTTTCTCCTGATGTACTGAATAAAAGGTGCTGCAAACTAGGGGGTCTTGCCTTTGCTGCCCAGAGCAGCACTGATCAGACCCAAAGCTCAGCTTCTTCTCAGTCTCATTTTTCTACCTTTCCTGTAATTTGACGTGTGCTGCCCTGGCTCACAGGAGACTAGGACTTACTGCAGAGGTTCTGGTGACATCCCCTTCCCCTGTTCAGAGAACATTATCTCCTCATTGAGCAGAGCTCAACTTGCTTTGCATGCAATGAGACAAACACAGAGTTAAGCTCAAAACCTACATTAAGAAGCAAATGGGGGCCAGGGATTTAGCTCAGTGGTTTCACTGCCTGCTGCGCAAGCGCAAGGACCCGAGTTCAATCCCTGGTACCAAAGGAAAAAAAAAAAAAAAAGCAAATGGACTCAAAAATTTCACACTATCAAAAATAGGGAGGGCTGGGGATTTAGCTCAGTGGTTTCGCCACTTGCAGTACAAGTGCAAGGACCCAAATTAGATCCCCAGTACCAAAAAAAATTTTAAAAATAGGGAAAAAGTAGGGTGGACAGTATATTATCTAATAGGTCTGTTACCTGTATTATTCATATACTCTACAGAGCTATGGACTTTGTGTGACCATTCTCATTTTTAAAATATAGGGATGAGCTACTCAGGGATACACAGTTTAGCAGGAGACACCAAATTCCAGACAAGAACAGATTCCAAATCCTCAAATTCTTTCAAATAAATATTTAGCCTTGGGCCGGGGATTTAGCTCAGTGGTTCCACCTCCTGCCTCACAAGAGGAAGGACGAGAGTTTGATCCCCAGTACCAAAATAAAAAAAGATTTAGCCTTAAAATGCCTGCCAAAATTAGAATGATTTTAAGAACTCCTAAAAATAAACACACCTCACTTGGCTCAAAAAAGATTCAACTTTACCAAATTGCTTAAGAAGCAAATTATATTAATAATGGAAACTTTGTATAATTTTCCTCAATATGTAATCAAATTAAAACATTTGCAGTGAAGTAAGACAGTGTAGAATATCACTTTTAGGAAATAAACACAGCCCGTAATCCCGCTACTAGGGAAGCTGACGTAGGAGGATCACTGCAAGTTTGAAGCCAGTGTGGGCTACATACATAGTGAGATCAAGGCCAGCCTGGAATATGTAGTGAGATCTTGTCTCAAAAAACAAAAGTGAAATATACATAGCAATCACTGCATTTTGAAAAACTAATGAATTTCTTTCCAACTATTCAATTTATATAATAAATTATATTTAATCTTTGTAATTTGACAAGCTTCTTTTCTGAAGAAATTTAAATGACATACACATGATTCTCAAAATTATGAAAGCTGGGAAAAGTTAATGGCTAGATGGAAAAATGTGACTTCTCTGTTTAGAAAGAAAAAAACCAGGGCTGGAGATTTAGCTCAGTGGTTCCTTCCGGTGCCTGCCTCGAAAGCGAAAGGTCCCAAGTTTGATCCCTGGTACCAAAAAAAGAAAAAAACCTCCAAATTCTAAAGGTTGGATCAAGTATAGAAAACTCTTTAAATCCAAGTAATAGATAAAGCCCCAAACCTACCTTGCAGTCCACAACTCTGTCAAGCCATTTGAGTTGACTGATAATGAGCCGTGGCATGTTGATGCCATCACTGTTCACACTGACATGAAGAATGAGAAGATAAGGAGTTAAGTCTTTTTCTTTTTTCTTCCTTGTTTTTTTTTCCCTTGCTTTTCATTTGTTTTGTTTTAGCATTGGGACTTGAACTCAAGTCCTCATATACACTAAGCAGGCACTCACCACTGAGCTACACCTCAGTCCTAGAACTTACCCATTATAACTGATATACCAGCAAGCAGTAATACTGTACAAACTATTTCAGCCATTCAACTAACATTCACTGGGCAACATCTATGTGTCTGACACTGTGTTAGACACATAACTGATATCAAAAACAGTAGATATAAGCTTATACATGTTGAAAAAGATGTCTGGAAAAAGATGCAGTGAATTAACAGTGGCTACAGCCAGAGAGGGTTTAGAGGAAAGAGAAGTCAGGACCAGACAGATCTCAATAATAAGGCAAATAGTGGGCCTGGGATTTAGCTCAGTGGTCTCGCCGCCTGCCTCGCAAGTGCAAGGTCCCGAGTTTGATCCCTGGTACCAATACCAATTATAATAATAATAATAATAATAATAAGGCAAATGTTTTTTAAAGATAAAATATCAATGAACTATGAAAAATTGAATGAAACATTGTTTAAAAAGGAAAAAACTAGGGCCGGGGGTTTAACTCAGTGGTTCTGCTGCCTGCCTCACAAGCGCAAGGTCCCAAGTTTGATCCCCCATACCAAAAAAAAAAGAGACAGAATAGAAGGAAAAAAATGGAAACAAAGCTTTTATAAATTAGAAGGGAAAGAGAGGTTGAAAGGAGGGGAGGGGAAATGGGAAAAAAAAAAAAAGGAGCAAGATACATCATGTACAGGTACAAATTTCCTATGGTAAATATTACCAATATGTGTATCTAAAATGTACCAATAAAAAAAATTTTTTTCATTTTGGCCAGGACAGAATTCACCTAGCATGAGCCATTCAGCTAAAACATAGATTTTAAAGAATAGATCTTCAAAGTTTCAAACATATTAAAAAAATAATAAAAAATAAATAACTGAGTATTATTCTAACATATCCACTATTGATATGCCTATGTATGTTTACATCTTCTTTTGACTGAACTGTAAATACTAATTCATAATATTAAGAATTTCTCCAATGTCATATTAGTCTAAAATTTTTAATATCCTATTTTGAACATCTCAGTTATTTACGTTTTGTTATTTTAAACACTAATCTTTATCTTTGTCTTCCATTTAGCTAATACCTTAGGATAAGGAGACATAATATTGAGGATTTAAAGGTCTGCAAAATCTAACATGGTTTTGTTTTGTTTTTTGTTGTTTTTTATACTGCTGGGGATTGAAACCAGAGCCTGATCCATATAAAAAGTACATGCTAGTGGGCATGGTGGCACCCTGCTCCCAGCACTCTGAGAGGCTGAGGTGGGAAGATCACAAATTCAAGCCTAGCCTGGGCAACTCGTGACTTAGTGTGATCCTGTCTCAAAATTTTTTAAATGTTAATAAATAAAAAGGCTAGGGATGTAGCTAGGGGCAAAGACCTAGGGATTTAATCTCCAGTATTTAAAAAAAAAACAACTATGCTCTACCACTGTGTTACATCCCAAGTCTAAAACCTTAGGTTGTTTTTTTTCTTGGTACCAGGGATCGAACTCGGGACTTTGCAATTGCGAGGCAGATGGCAGAACCACTGAGCTAAATCTCCGGCCCTAAAACCTTACATTTTGATATATACACCTGATTGTTTTCCAGAATGAATGGAATGATTCATATGCTCATTAACAATGCCTGAGCATGCCTGTTCATTATACTCAGAGACCTCTGAAAGTAGAAAAAAAGTGCATTTATTGTTTTAAATACATCTGATTGCTAATGAAATCTATTCATGACCTGTTTAGTTTTCAATAGACCTTATTTTTTTTAACATAGCAATTTAAAAAATGGATTGTGCTGGGTATGGTGGTATACATGTGAGATACCAGCACTCAGGAGGCTGAGGCAGGAGCACTGCCCCAAGTTTGAGGCCAGCCTGGACAACATGGTGAGTCCCATCTCAAAAATACAAAACAAAGAGAGGATACATACACATCATAAAGAAAAAGATAAAGAGCAATACTCAGATAACGCTTGATCCAGCCAAGTGACTCTTCTCCTTGGAAACGGCCACTATCGCCAATCAATCAATATATTCTTCTAGGATTAACCCATGCATGCACCAGGGTACATAATATTTACATTCATTCATTCATTTAATTTAGTTTACTTATTGTAGTAGTGGGGATTGAATCCAGGGTTGTCACTGTTGAGCTATGTATATACCCAGCTTTTTTTTTGAGACAGCATCTTGCTAATTCTCTAAACTGTCCACACTGGGCTTGAACTTGCAATCCTCCTCCCTGTCTTGGCCTCCCAGTATGCAAGGATAATGAATGTTTGCCACTGGGCCCGATTAAATTCTATTAATGTTCATAAAGTTATTAAGAGATGAAACATCAGGGCCGGGGGATTTAGCTCAGTGGTGCCATCTCCTGCCTCCCAAATGCAAGGTCCTGAGTTCGATCCCCAGTACCAAAAAAAAAAAAAAGAGAGAGGGATAAAATATCAAAGATACTCCAATACAATTTTAGTAGTAACTTAAGCATCTGGCATCACAATAAATATGATCTTCAGAGAAACCACTGGTCTTTTAGAATAAGCTTTCCAGAGAAACTTCACTACATCAGGTTATTGTGAACATTTCATAATAAATCTACTTACTTTACAAAAAGAAATTCTGGCAGCTTTTCAAATAAGGTTTTAACAATGGCAGGCTAAAAAAAGAAGATATAAAGAGTTAAGAGAATATTTCAAAAGACACAACAGAAATGTATAATTAGCCAGAATTTTCTGCAGCTTGAGTTCTTGAGGAAAGACCTTACTATAATTGATATTCTCTTATTATAAGAATATCCACACAAACACTGTCTATATTTTTCATGCAAGCTACTGGAATATAAATGATTTATCTTTTGAAATATTAAAAAATGATTTTCAAGACAGATGAAAATAAGCAGATAATAAAAATACTATTAAATATGGTAACTGTCAATCTATGAAATGCAGACTTGAAAAGATTATCAGTTTTCAAAAAGAATTTCTTTCCAGCATGAACAAAGAACCCTTAGACTTAAGACTACTAACCTTACATTCAAGATTTCCAATGAAAAGGAAAAAATAAAGAATGCAGGAAGAAAAGGAGAAGGAAAAATGGAGTATGGCATGAGAGGTAGATTTTTCACTGTACACATGTTTGTACAGATTGAAATGTTTAAAACTATGCAAATGGGGCCGGGGATTTAGCTCAGTGGTTCTGCCGCCTGCCTTGCAAACGCAAGGATCCAAGTTCGATCCCTGGTATCAAAAAAATAAAAAATAAAATAAAAATAAAACTATGCAAATGGATCATCTACTCAATGAACTAAAAAAAGGGGGGGGGCAAGGACCCGAGTTCAATCCCCAGTACCAAAAAAAAAAAAAAAAGAGGGGGGGAGATAAAGGACAAAATCAAATTACATAAGCACCTGTAAAGTTAAATGGGAAATGATCCAGATGACAAGTTCTTAGAGCCCAAACAACTCTGTTTTATCAAAGGAACCTATGCTGAAGTAACAAACAGAACTTCTGGATGACCTGGGATTGGCAGCACAGGTATTACCCTACCAGACTTATCTGAGCAACAGGACTACTACTATAAAGCTCTTGCAAGCCCAAACTTCCAATTATCCTCATTCTACCTTGAGCTCCAGCCACTTAAAACTGGACATACTATACAACATCAAATGTTCAGAAAAAATGGCATAGTCTCACCTGTAATATGTCAATCCCCAGTAGCAGTTTGATGAGGCTTTTAGAGTAAGATGTGCCCATGCTGTAAAGAAGAGGTATTTGTTTCCATTTTGTTTTTCATGTTTAATGCTTGTATCATCAATTTTCTATAAAACCGGTTAAATACAAAATCTTTAAGCATTATAATATAATCTTGTTAGACAAAAAAGCAGATGAGGGGTCGGAGATTTAGTTCAGTGGTTCCGCTGCCTGCCTCACAAGCACAAGGACCCAAGTTTGATCCCAGGTACCAAAAAAAAAAAGCAGATGAGAAGATCACTCTTACTAAAGATTTGAAATTGTATCAACACAGGTAAGACACATTCTATAAAACATTCTAGGGCTGGGGATTTAGCTCAGTGGTTCCAACACCTGCCTTGCAAGCGCAAGGTCCCAAGTTCAATCCCTGTACCAAGGAAAAAAAATTCTAGTTCTTAGCTGTAAAGTGACAAATTTAATAATTTCAAGAATTAGCAATGGATGAATAAAGAAAATGTACAATAATATGCAATGCAGTAATAGTCATGAAAACAATGAAATCATGTCATTTGCAGAAAGATGAATGGAACTGGAGATCATCATATTAAGTGAAATAAGTCCAACTTAGAAATAAAAATATCATACTTTTCTGCTATATGTGGAATTTAGGAAAAAAAGTCATGAAAGTAGAAGAGTTATAAGAGGAAGAAGGAGGCCATGGGTTAGAAGGAAGGGAGTGTAAGGGAGATTGATTAGGGAGATGAATATAATCAAAGTATGTTACATACATGTATGAAAATGTCATGATAAAATATTGTATATAATTAATATGCAATAATAAAAATAATCTTTATAATAATGTCAAGGTTAGACTTAAACTCTGGAGAATTATAATTAAAAAGTAAACAGTTGGATCCTCCCACCCCAGTACAGTTCCTGTAACAGACTAAAATTCGAGGGGATGTCATGCCTCCCCCCTCATACCTAGATTCCTCATCCTGCAGGCGTTCACAAGACAAGAGGCAGTTCCTGAAAGTGTCATGGTCTTCAATGTGAGACTCCAGGCCACTGACAAATTCTTCTATTACCTTAGTAAGGAAATTTGAAAATAGAACAGTAAGAGTTTTGGTTTTACATTTCCTGTCAGCTAAAAATCATTTTAGCCCAATCAACTATATACCAATGTCTTTAAATGCCTAGATCCAAAATGTTCCAAGCAAGAACACCACAAGAAAAATACATACTTTAGGATAAGAAGGATGTTTCCTCAGGGACTGAAAGAGCTTCTTTTGGAAAACTATTTGATCCACAGCTACGAGGAAAGAAGGACAGATGGTCACCAGAGTCTATAAATCTTCCTACCACCATTGTCTTCCCTAAAGACCTAACTTTCTTGTCTGATGAAAGCACTAAAAAGATTTTCAACTTAATTTTAGAGGCAAAACTTGTAAACACACATGCTTACCTTTTTTTTCCCCCAGCACTGGCGATTAAACTCAAGACTTATGCAGTGAGCTAAATCACCAGCCTTTTTTTTTTTTGGTGGTACCGGGGATTGAACTCGGTCTTTGCGCTTGCGCAGCAGGCAGCAAAAGCACTGAGCTAAATCTCCAGCCCCAACCAGCCTTTTTTTTTTAATGTAAATAAAACTTTATTTACAAAAATAAGTGGTACATAGGATTTGGTCTGTGAGAGTTTGCCAATCCCTACTTCAGGTCATCACCAGTCTTTTTATTTTTCTATTTTGAGACAAAATCTCACTAAGTCACCTAGGCTGGGCTCAAATTTACAATATTCCTACTTCAGTCTCCTGAGTAGCTGCAAAGATTTTTTCTTTTTTTTTGGTACTGGGGATCGAACTCAGGATCTTGCACTTTCGAGGCAGGTGGCAGCACCACTGAGTAAATCCCCGGCCCAAGACATAATTTTGATGAAGGATAGCAACTAAGTTTTCTAAAAAATATCTGACAGTCAGATGTGGGGATATATGCTTGCAATCCCAGCTACTGAGGTGGCTGAGGCAGGAGGATCACAACTTTCAGACCAGCTGGGCAACTTAGCAACACTGCCTCAAAATTAAAAATAAAAAAAATCTCCAGACATGGTGGCACCCACATGTGATCCCAGCACTGGAAAAGCTAAGGCAGAAGGATCACTGTGAGTTCAAGGCCAGTCTGCACTACATAGCAAGACGCTGTCTGAAAAAAACAAAAACAAAGGGCCAGAGATTTAGCTCAGTGGCACTGCACCTGCTTTGAAAGCTCAAGGTACTGAGTTCGATCCCTGGTACCAGACAGAAAAAAAAAAGAAAGAAATGAATAAATAAAAAAATAAAAGTCGGGGCCAGAGATTTAGCTCAGTGGTTTCACTGCCTGCTGCGCAAGCACAAGGACCCAAGTTCAATCCCTGGCACCAAAAATAAAATAAAATAAAATAAAAGCCTGGGGATATAGTTCAGTGGCAGAGTACTTGCCTAGCATGTGTTAGGTTCTGGGTTTAATCCTCAGTACTGCATGAAAAGAGGAAAAAAAGACCTACCATAACCTTAGCAGGACAGAATAATCTCTGGCCCATAAGGCTTTCCACATTTTCTTTTGAAATTATTTTGACATAGATCTAATTACTTCCTGAGTATTAATTTTTTCACAAGACAACATAAAGGATTACAAGTATGTACCTTTCTTCCTAAAAAAAAAAAAAAAACAGGGCCGGGGATTTAGCTCAGTGGTTCCATCACCTGCCTCGCAAGTGCAAGGTCCCAAGTTCAATCCCTGGTACCACACACACACTAAAAAAAAATGGATTAGAATGTATTTTACTTAACATCCATTAACCAGGATCAAAGGCTACAACAATATTCTCTGAAAGTAATTTTTTTTTTTTTTTTTTGAGGCAGAGTCTAGGTTTATAGTTCAGGTCTAAAAGTACTTTTATTAATGAATCAAAACACAGGATTCTTTTTATCTTTTCAGTACTAGAAACTGAATCTAGGGCCCTCTACCATGAAGATACATCTCCAGGACTTTCTACTTTTTTTTTTTTGGTACCGGGGATCAAACTCGGGTCCTTGCGTTTGCACAGCAGGCGGCAAAACCACTGAGCTAAATCCCCGGCCCTCTACTTTTTATTTTGAAACAGGGTTTCACTTTGCTCAGGTTCATCTCAAACTTGCAATCCTGCCTCAGCTTTTTTTTTTTTGTACTGGGGATCGAACTCGGGTCCTTGTACTTGCACAGCAAGTGGCGAAACCACTGAGCTAAATCCCCGGCCCATGCCTCAGCTTTTTGAGCACCTGGGATCACAGGTGTATGCCGCAGGACCCAAATATAGAGCTAAGCTTGGACTGGCTTTTTTTCTCTCTCTCTTTTTGGCAGTGCTTGGGATCAAACCCAAGGCTTCATGTATGCCAGGCAAGTGCTCTACCGCCAAGCAGCAACCACAGCTCAAACCTTTTCTGGGGAGGCGGGGGTGGGGAGGCAGCAGTGGGGATCAAACCCAAGACCTCTGCACTAAGCTGTCTCCAGTCTCCTACCTTTTGAAGTTTTGAAGCAGGGTCTCCCGGTTGCCCAACAGGGCTCAAATTTGTAATCCTCCTGCCTTAGCTTTCTAGAGCACTGGGATTGCAGGCATGTGCCACCACACCTGGCTCTGAGCCCTGATCCTCTCTTTTTTTGGGGGTGGGGGGGGACTGGGGATCGAACTTGGAGATCCTCTCATTTTAAATCTTCACTGCCTATTTAGTTAGGAAACCCACAACTGAGTCCTAAATATTTTCACTATACCCTAAAGATACATTAATATTTACCTAGCTGATTCTGATTCTCTCCAGTTTTAAGAATAAGTCCTGATGTCTTAAGAAGCTTTACAAAGACATTGTCATTTTCTTCACCTTCATTAGAAGCAGATTTCTTTATCTTTTTGGAAAGCTGTTGCTTCTTGGCCCCTGAAAATAGATAAAATTTTCAAGAATATCAACAAAAGTAAAGATTAAATATAGACATTCTGCCTGTTCCCAGAAACTCACCAGCACCCTCCATTCTCTCTGGAGTTGGTCTTTGTGTCACTTCCAGAGCACTCTGTGCCTTCCTATAAGCAGCAAAAAAAGACCAGGTTTCGTAGGATGGTGTCATTTGAAGATACGGTGGTGGACTTCACCTGGGAGAGTGGTAGAGCTTAGGTGATGCTCAGAGAACCCTGTCCAGGGACAAAATGCTGGAGAACTACAGCAACCTGATGTCATTAGGAAACTGTGTTACTAAACATGAGGTGATCTTCAAGCTGGTTCAGGGAACAGAGCAATGGATGATAGACAAACTCCCAAACCAGATCTTCCCAGATTTCAAAAAAACAGATGACCAAAATGAAAGAAATCTGCAAAGTCAAAACAGACATTTGTAGCACTTTGTAACCAACAGTAACACATCAGCTATGAAGATTGGTGAATTAAGAGAAAATACATAATTTAAACTCAAATCATATTTCAAAAATGATTATAAAGAGTAGAAACTGTTCGGTAACAACACCTGAGGAAGTGAATGTACATCCGAACATGCATTCTCCTAATAAGCCTGGTGAGATGTGTGGTACAGAGAAACCTACAGCTGATAATGCAACTGGGAGATCCCTGAGATGTACAGAAAATCACAGTCGACATCCTGGAATTCAGGTTGGGCAGCAGGATTTTGAAGCTAGTACACAAGGGAAAACCTTTAGTAGGGAGACAATGTTGAAACATAATGTTCACAATGGAGAGACCTGTAAATATAATAAACACCAAAAAGCCTGCAAATCAGCTGTCCTTCATTAAGACATAACTCAGGTACAGAAGAAAACTTTGCATAAAAAGTTCAATCCCAGCAGGCTGGGGATTTAGCTCAGTGGCACTGAATCTGCCTGGCAAGCCCAAGGTCATGAATTCAATCCCAGTACGGGGGGGGGGGTTCAATCCCAGGAGCTAGCAAGTAGAGCCAGAGAAGAAACTGTATGAGTGTAGTAAATGTAAAAAAACTTTTATAACCAAATGAGATCTTATAATACATCAGAAGATAGAGTGAGAAAACCCTATGTGTATAACCAGTGTGAGAAATCTTTCCGGTGTAAATCACACCTTATTATCAAAGAACCCACATGGCAAAAAGCCTTATAGATGAATGTACAAGAACTTATATCCAGAAGTCACAGCTCAGTGAGCACCAGAGAGAAACCCCATGAATGTATTGAATGTGGAGAAACTTTCTACAAAAGGTCAATCCTCGATGTACATCAAAGAATTCACCAAATGGAGAAATTCTATGAATGTAAACAATGTAGAAAAACTTTCAATCATAAGTCAGGCCTTGTTGAACACCTGGGAACTCACATAGGGGACAGACCCATGAATGTAAAGAATATGGAAAAAGCTTTTACCTCAAGAGGGGCATGGTGGCACATGCCTGTAATCCCAGCACTCGGGAGGCTGTGGAAGGATTGCAAAGAGTTCAAGGCCAGCCTGGAGTACATAGTGAGTTCAGGGACAGCCTGAACTACAAAGGGAGACCCTGCCTCAAAAAACAAAACAAAACAAAAAGCTTTTACTGAAATCAAATCTTAGCACACATTACTGGATTCACACAGGTATGAAACCTATGAAAATGAACTATGTGGGAAATCTTTCCGTGAGGAGTCACAACTTACTGTCCTTCTGGAAATCCACACAGGTGAGAAACCCTATGAATGCAAGGAATGTAAGAAAACTTACAAAGAAGTTAAACTTCATTTTACATCAGAGGACTCATGAAGTCAAGAATTCCTGTAAATGTAAAGAATGTAAGATAAGTTATACACAAAAGGCAAGTCTCGTTTTACATCAGAGGAGTCACAAAGGTGAGAAGCTCTGTGACTGTAAAGAACATAAATTCTTCCACCATAAATCAACCCTTATAATCCATCAGAGAAGTCACACAGGGGAAAAACCTTATAGATGTGAAGAAGGCACAAAATCCTTTGTCCAGAAGTCACATCTCAGTGTGCATAGGAGAACACACACTGGAGAGAAACCCTATGAATGTGACAAATGTCAGAAAATTTTCACCACAAAGTTAAGCCTAAATACACATAAACTCACAAAGATGAGAAACAGTATGAATGTAAAGAACGTAGGAAAACTTTCAACCAGAAGTCAGGCCTCGTTGAACACCTAAAAACTCACACAGGGGACAGACTATATGAATGTATAGAATGTGGAAAAAGCTTTTACCAGAAATCATATCTCTGCACACATCACTGGGTTCGCACAGGTGTGAAATCATATGAATGTGAACCATGTGGGAAGTCTTTCTGTGAGAAGTCACAACTTAACTGTCCATCTAGAAACCCACAGGTGAGAAACCCTATGAACGCAAGGAATGTAACTTACAAAGAAGTTAAGCCTCATTTTACATCAGCGTAGTCATAAAGGTGAGAAACGCTATGAATGTAAAGGATGTAGAAAATCTTTCTACTATGAGTCACTCCTTACAATGCATCAGAGAACTCACACAGTGGAAAACCCTTACCAATGTAACAAATGTACTAAAACCATTTTATATAAGTCACAGCTCATTTGGCATCAAAGAACCCTCACCGGAGAGAAACCCTATGAATGTAGTAAATGTGAGAAAACCTTCAGCAAAATCATATCTTAGCAAGCACCTGAAAACTCACAAGAGAGTAATCCAACATAGCAGAGACTGGCTATATACTGTCTAGATTTCTTTTTTTTTTTTTTTTTGGTACCGAGGATCGAACTCGCGTCCTTGCACTTGTGCAGCAAGTGGCGAAACCACTGAGCTAAATCCCCACTAGATTTTTTTATTTTTTCTCTTGAACAAAGCTTGTACTTGTCAGCCTCCTTTTTATGTAACTGGGCCCTAACTGAGCTATGTTTAGAAACTGTGAACAGATGCCATGGACGTTATTTCTGGTCTGGAAACAACAACAGTGAGAACTGTCCATACCGTCCTCTGATTTCTTAGACCCACTTGGACTGAAGTGTAGCTGACACCTTTGATGGCTGTGTGAGCCATATGTGGTAGAATGCCACCAAGCTTTAATACAGAAGAAACTGGTTGGAGGAAACACATCTTCCCATCTCTTTCCCAAGTCCTCCACTTTTATTTCATGTAAGAAGTACTTCCTGTGTTTGTTATACCCAATCACAAGAGATTATAGAGAATCATCAACACTCTGAGCCAAATATGAGTTCTTTATTGCCGGCAGTCAAGAGCAGCTAGCGCTCAAAATCTCCACCCCAAAAACAGGCTTGTGGATTTCTTTTAAGCCATTCTTCTAGTTGGGGAGGGCTCAGGGGGAGCTCAAGCAGAATCTTACAGAGGCAGAACTTTGCCAAGTTAGTGGCGGTTAGGGAAAGTTTCACACAATCCAGTTAAGGTGGAAATATCACCCAAGCGCAGGATGTTCTGCCCACAAAGGCATAAAGGTAACGTACTGCTGCAGGCTGCTCTGCCAAACAGGATGTGGTCCAGCATGCATCAGTCAAGGGGACTTCCAAGAAGGGAGGGGGAGGCGACCACCCAGAATCACTTCACTTTATACAAAATGGAGAAGGACAGTGATGGGGCACAAAATGGAGGCAGGTTGGCTATATTTCCAACTCCTCTAAGCTCAGTGTCAAAGTCTTGACTCATCTTGAGCCTCCTGAATGGGTGGGGGATTATACTAGGTTCTCATGTATAACAGTTTAACAGAGGCTATACGTTGTTCCACAAAGTTTATCAAATTAAGAACACGGGGCCAAATCAGTGGCCCGAGAAAAAGCAGGATGAGGGAACTGACTAGTCTAGTGATGAGAGTGGTCAGCCAGAGGCTCCAATTAAACATGCTATGGCACCAAGAATTTTGGGTTTCTCTTTCTGACATTTTTTTTTTTTTTTTTTTTACTTTCTGAAGAGTATTTTGGATCATACCAGGCTTATTAGCATAGAAACAGGCTTCTCCCAAGGCAGCACATAGCCCCCCTTGTGACAGAAGCACAAGGTCTAGTCCTTAGGACACAAGGACAACCATTTCAGCTAGTGATCCTATCTGGAGTGGAGAGTGTCAACAGCATACTGTAGGCTCCCCAAGTCAGAATCTATTTATTCCGATAGAGTCGGAGTTCTCCCCTAGTCAAAGGGGCAGTCCCCAGTGCCATCAAGCTGGCTACCCATGGTCCCATCAAAACTGGAACCACTAGGGGGGCCGCTCATCTTTGTCTGTACTGCAAACCTGGAGGCACTATAAGGACCCATCCCTGTGGTCCTCCATACACATAAACTTGAGGGAGAACTTGAACTAGGACACATAAAGCTTTAGGGTCCGGCCTATAGTTTAGAAGCATAGACACATCTGGTAAGCCTGGACACACAAGCTAGTCAGATACTGTTAGGAGTGAAAAATGCCTTTGAGGTCTCTGGGGTCAAAGTCTGGCATACAGCAAAAAAAGGGGACTTACTCATGTCATAAGGGTTTGCCAGGCAGGTAGCATTTCCATAAACTCCACCTACTGTCAGAGGGGGAGGAGTTGAGATACATGCCAGTGCATTATTTGAGGTTTGGATCTGTTGTAGAGTTCCCATACCTACATAATAAGGGGGCTTAGCCTTTAAGCATAACCAACAATCCCAGGCTAGAGCAGGTTGGGTCAAGTTTAGCAAGGTGTGGATAGATCCCAGCATGGAAAACAGAAGAAGCAGTGGGCGGGTATATTCAGCCTTATCAGAGAAGGAAGTCAGGACAGAAGGGTGGGGTTCAAATATGGGGTCCTTCACATCCATCAGGGGTCCTATGGGTTGCCTTACTGGTTGGGTCAGCAGCCAGTACTGGATTGTAGATGGTCCCCTAATCTGGGCCAGTCATGTAGATTCACAGGCCCCAGGTGTGACCCCTTGACCATATAGGGCCTTGGGTTAGTCACTTTGAGGAAGA